TGGGGGGGGTTGNGCCCCCCCCAGACCCCCCCCCAGACCCCCCCCCAAAAGGCTGTACGGTGTGCTGTAAACAACACCTGATGTCTGGAAACACACAGCACGTCCCATCGCTTTGGCCTTTCGGCACACACTGTGTTTGCTGGCGCCGCGCCTGCTTTTGAATCACCAGCGGTGCGTGCTGCGAAGCACCCGCCCTTGAAGGTGGCGGTGGTGCCGTGGCGACATCTTGGGGCGGTGGCCCTTCCTTGTCAGAATCAAGCTGCTCAGCTGAGTCGCTGATTGCTGCAGTTGTGTGTTGCCGCTTCGCCGGGGGATCCTCAGCTTCGCTCAAATCGCTGGCTTCACTGACTTCAAGAGCGGCAACTACGGCATGCCTATCCTTGTCTTCTGTATTATCTAATTCTTCTCCTAAATGTTTGGGGCATTGCGTCTGCGGACTTTCTGAGCCGTTTGCTTTGGTCAAGCATGAACGAATGCCCCGTTGACCTAAGTTGAATGCAACAGCGGGCCGTCTCATGGTGATATCATCAAATATTTTATACATAAATAGTGTATAAGCTCCAAATGTTCAGCTTTATATGTGCAGAAGGCATTTGGTGGCCGAAGTAATGAAGCAGTACGGCCAACTGACCAATTATTCCATTTCTTCCAGGCTCAGACCCCCATTTATTCCCAAAAAAGTAATATATTACCAAAAAAAACACTGGCCATAAGGCGACTGAGGATCATCGCGCCAAACGATGGCTTTTCAGCAGAAGCCGCGATATGCGGACAACAGGATACTCACACGGGCGTGCGCTTTCCTGCTTTCTAGCTTCCTACGCCCTGCTTCCAATCTGGTTGTTCCTACTAACCCCACATGCATTTCAGGCGTCGCTGCATATGCGATTTTCAGGCGTATTTAACGTTTCGCGTGTGCACGGGTTCATTGAATCGCTTCCGGTTAAAGATGTTTTTCATCTGTTTGAAATTGAGCATCTTCAGGGTAAGACCACTTAGCCTCTTCCGTTCCTCTCTCCTTACTATCCTTCTAGGCATTTTTTCCTGCATGAACAGCAGTCGGCATACCCGTCCCTGGCGTGTCTGTCTGTCTGTCTGTCTATCCGTCACAGTGCGCTCTCAACCTTCCAACTCAAACCAACACCCTCATCTTCCCACACTTCGGCTCGGCCTTAAGAATCACGTGAAACACGCAAAGGGAAAGCAAGGCGTCGATTTCGTGAATTTCTTTCTGTGGCCTTTCAAACCCACAGGCAACACATACACGACGCCGGCGACGTCACGAAAAACAGTGGCAGCTATCCTTACATCAGCCCATAAGCTACATAAGCCACATAATTACTTTCCGCTTCGTTCTTCACTACTACTAATGCACCGCCTTCAAAGCCACAGTAACAAACAACTCACAGCGCATCCCGCCAATTGCTGGGGATGCTCGTCTTGCGCCGTACGCCTGTCGTACTGTCCCTTCCACTGACACTGTCTACTTGGGCCTCCGCGCCAGCCGCTACGGACAGCTCCTTTCCGTTGTTGACTCCATGAGAGATAACTTTCCCATTGCGTTCGACGGAGATGTTGGCATCGGGTACGGCAATGGCGGCGGAAGTGGAGGCCGACGGTTGCTCTCCCCGCGCTGCGGCCAGTTCCGAGGCCATGCTGGCCCATTTAGATACCTTGGTGGCAAACGTCGGCGTCAGTGATGGTGAGGATGACTCGGCAGCGGCGGGGGAGGACGAGGACGGCGTGGGTGATGCGATGGCCGCAGGCGAGGTTGAGGACGACTCGGCGGCGACAGCACGGCGGTTACCGTTACCCTTACCATTGCCCGATGGTGCCGTACTGTACGGAGGCGCTCCTATCGTCCCACCCTCTCCTTTACCCTGCTCACGCTCCTCCTCGCCGTCAGCGTGCACCTGCTGCCGCTGCTGCTGCTGCTGCTGCTGCTGCTGCTGCTGCTGCTCAGACTTCGACCAGGCTGAATGCTTTGCTGCTACAGCCGGCTGGCGTTCTGACTCCGCTAGCTGCTGACCCGGCTGCAGGTGCTCTCGCGGCTGCGGTTCCTGCGAGTTTGTCCCGTCCCCCAGACGTGGTGTTGGGGCTTTCTCAGCGGTGGCCGCGGGGCCGGCCTGAGGCGCCGATGATGGCGCTTCGAAACGCACTGCTGCTGCCGGCGGCAGTGGGGCCGTTGCCGCAGCAACAGGAGACGCGGTACGGTGTTGCGCCGGCGGGAGAGACTGTTGCTGTTGCTGCTGCTGCGGCGGCGGCGCCACTGTCGGCGCATTCTTGGTGGTGGCCGGGTTAAGGGCGTTCTTGACAACCACCAGTGCCTGCAGCGGAGACGGGAAAAAGGAGAAAAGCGAGCTTAAATGTCAGCTTGTGCCCGTCCCGTGTTGCGTGTCCTGCAACTGCTGCCTGTTGGAAACATGAAGAGTAAGGTTAGGTGCGGTGTGAAGAGGCGGTGCAGGTTGATATGGAAGGGAAAATCCGTATGGAAAGGAAAGAGGGAGCTCGGCATGGAACCCAAACGGCAGCGGCGGGGCGGCGGCGGCGGCGGCGGCTGCATGGCACCTTCATTATTCCCGATATGTCGAGAAGACGCCTCCACTCATGGGCATGACGCCGGGAGACTCACAAAATGCCCCTCAGTATTCATGGCATTTTTTCCGTACGTGGTACACCTACCAGCCGCCCACTTCCCTGAACCTTCCTGGACATCCCCTATATCCTCCTCCTCCTCCCACCTTCCAGCCCACATTACTTCCCCCCTGCCCGCCCTCCCAGCAGCCATCTGCCGTCCCCCTTACTCCGCCATTGCCGTACCTCCTTCAGTGCAGTCAACTTCACTTCGTACTCAGCCTTTAGTACGGCCTTTTGCATCTCGAACTCAGCCTGAAACGCGGGTGGGGAGGACCGTCCATGGAGCGACAGGTTATGGACTTTTCCAGGTCTTTGGGGGATTGGTTAACGGTTAAATGTTAGTGGATGTAGAGAAGTCGTCAACTGGTGCTCCGATTATGTCATCCACGCACAAACACATACCATCAGAGGGGCCAGCGGACCTCCCCATGGGGTCAAGATCTAGGCACCGTTGCTTTATCCCTTTTAGATGTTGCCGCTACTGATTGGAACTTGACTACTGCTACCGCCACTGCAACCAGCTGGTGCTATCCCCCCCCATTGTTGCTGTGCCTTACAGAAGCCACGATGATTGCCATACGCGAACCCCTGAACCATAAATCCTAAACGTTAAACTGGCTGTAGCTGCTCTCCTGGGTCAAACAAATAGAACAACGACGAAAACAAGGACAAAGACGAGATGAAAACCGGATCTAGGATGCAAACGCCCGGCTGCTTCTAGGCCCTGCCTGTGCGGGATCGCCGCCCTCGCCCACGCCCTCGCCCACGCCCTTGCCGCCGCCGCCGCCGCCGCGCCCGCGACCGGCACCCGAATCCCCGCTTGGAAACCCTCCATGGTGGTCACCGCCATGAAATTCCCCTCTCGCATGCGGTGGTGGCGGCTGCGGCCCTGCTGTGCACGGCCCTGATGGTGGCGGCGGCGGCGACGGCCCTGGTGGTGGCGGCGGTTGTGTCGTTTGTAGCAGTACCTGCATTCTTAGCCGGTCCACCTCCGTGGCCGCCTCCAGCGCTTGCTGCACTTGCTGCATCTCCTCAGTGTGCCGCGTACGCTCCGCGCTGAGCTCCACCTGCGACGGATGGGGTTTTAGGATGCAGGTTTTTAATGTTTTAAAGGTTGAAGGTGCACAGCGTGTTGGCGGCGGTGGTATATATCGGACGCGGATTGTCCCGGACTTGTGAAGGGCAGGCTGGGGATGGTTTGGTAAAGTGGGGTGGGCTGAGGAGGGAGGTGGGAGGTGGGGTTAGGTGGATAAGGTAGTGTGGCGAAAGCAAATCCAGCAACCACAATCGCCACAGATGTCTGTGTGTACACTTTCCGGTCATCACAGCTGATACGGCGAATGTGGAGCAAAACTATCCCATATGTAGTAGCACGCACGTCCTCTTGTGCAGCCTTTCTTCCCCTTTTTCCCCGTCCAACCCGCCTTGCTACCCCACGTATCCCTTCCCTGCACAGCCCTTCCCAACACACGCAGGGCGGGCGGGCGCACGCACCTGCAGCGTCTGCACCTGCACCGCCATGGCCGCTTCGTGCTGCTCTGCCGCGTTGGTCACCGCTTCCAGCCGCCCTTGCTGCTCCTCAATGGTCTCCACCGCTGCCCGGTACTCGCCCCCCAGCTCCTCCAAGCGGTGCCGCAGGTCAGCCGAGTCGCCCTCCTGGTCCCTTAGTGCGGCCATCAGTTCGCCCTCACGAGCCGCTGCGGCGGATAAGCTGCTCTCCTGATCTTGAAGCCGGGACTGCGCAGGGGGTTTGGGGGGGGGGGGAACAGCACGCGAAACACAGACATGCGAAATACGCACGAGACACACGAATGGAATAAACCCACGGGCCAAATTAGATTGCACGAAAGGAACACGCACACACGCTGGCATGTGTATGTATGTATGTAATACGCGAGGATCAGAATCGAACGACCGTTGACGATAGAAGGGTGTGTGGGCGTGTAGGGTAATTTACAGACAGCCGTACAACTCGTACAGGGATGTGAGCGAGCGGATGACTGAGCCCACGAAAGAAGTCCATTCCAGCTTCAACCTGCCACGGGGCCCGGTTAGCGATGCTCGTCCGTACCTTGTACTGCGCAATGGACGCCTGCAGCTTTTCCACTCTGCCCAGCAGGTCGCCTTCCCTGGTCCCCGAAGCCTCCACCTGCCGTACAAGCTCGGCCTCCCGGGCAGCAGCCAGCTCCGCTTCACTGCGACTGGCCTCCAGCTTGGTCTGTCGTACATGAGGGCAAGAAATTCTTCAAGTACGGAAAAAAGTGGGGGATATGGGGGAGAGGAAAAAAAGCGAGAACGTGCCTAGATGGGATTGCGTGAGCTGGGTTGTGTAGTGCGAGTTGATTATAGAACAGCTGCGCGCGTGTGGAGGATGTACCCCGGAATGAACACACTTTCACACTGGGAAAAGTCCGTTTGAACGACAATCTGTCAGTACGACGGTCCGCCATTTCCGTAGTACAATTACCTTGTAGCTCTCCGTGAGGCCCTGCAGCCTGTCCATCTCCCTCTGCATGGCCTCAGCCCTCTCTTGCATGGCCGCCTGCTTCTCAGCCGCTTCCTGAAGGGCCGCCTGCTGCTCAGATAACTGACTCTGTAGGGGAGGAGGTTGAGGTGCGAGGGAGGGAGCGAGAGAAATTATATTAAGAAAACAGCAAAGGGTTGCGTCCAAATTATCAGCTGCTGGAGAGAGTAAGGAGGGGGGAGGGAAGGGGAGGGAGGAGAAGAAAAGCTTTCTAGTTTTCTAACGGAGTGTAACGGAGCGTTACAAAACTAAGGTTTCCTGTGAATTCGAAGTGGATTCTGTACGGCCTGGTGGCGTGCCTGTCGTTGTGTCGCTGTGAGCGATGGTGCTGGTTAATGCGTGTTCTGTGTAGAGCTACGTTTGCGTGTTGCCCTGCAGCGGTTGGTCTATAGGCCCTGTTTTGTCGCTTCGAGGTGGTGTGCCCGCACCCGGCCCTATCGTAGCATGAATCCTATCCTTTTCATGGCTTGCAGGTCGTTTTTCAGTTCGTAACGGTGACTTCGCATGAATACTGCGTGTTACGGATGTCTTTGTGTGGTGGCTGAGGAAACGGGCGGTTGCATGAGGGAACCTGTGTGCCACAGTGGCATCATCCTCATGCACAAGAACGTACGTCGCGCCCAGGTCAGCCTTCAGACAGACACACAGACAGAACACACACACACACATACACACAGACAGATAGACAGACAAGTACCTTATAATCCTCAGCAGTCTTCTGCTGGTGCTCCAGCTCCCTGCTCAGCTCGTCCTGCCGCTCCAAAGCCGCCTGCAACTGCTCCTCCTGCTGCCGTACAACTGCCTGAAGTGACGTCAGCTGCGCATCCAGGACCTCCTCGCGCTCCAAGGAACGCGACAGCTCACCGTCGTGCTCCGTCAAGTACTCCTGTATCATATGTATATTTTATACATATCAGGTGCTCTTGTACGTATGGATGGATTGATAAATGTACGGGTGTATAGATTTGTGGAAAATGTGTTCAGGGCGTCATCACGGGTCGCGGGAGAGGACGGGTTCGAACCGCTGTGGGGGAACTGTTTTAGGGAGGAAGTCATCTCCACGGCATAAGTAACGAGTGCGATGGGAAGTTACGTTGCTCTAATCGAAGGCAAAAGGCCAGCGCAATCTCCCACCTGGCTGCCAGGGTGCTGGGGGAAGTGCGGAGACGGCGAGAAAGACATTAGTGACACAAACAGAGGAGGCACTGGTTGAGGAGGGAGGTAAGTACTCAACCAGCAGATTTCACAGAACCCCAAAACACGACTCCCCCCAAAAATCCGAAGACCCTTTTCGGACTCCCCACACCCACCCGCCCAAATTTCAACCACCAAACCGCTCACCCCACCCACATGCCCCTCTCATCCCCAAAACCCGACCTCCCCGCCGGTACGAGTTATACCTTGTACTGCTCGATGACCCTCCTCAACCTCGCCACCTCCTTCCTTAGCGCCTCCTCTTGTCGAGCTGAGTCGCTCATCCCCGCAGCGGCTGCCTCCACCTGCTTCTGGAACTCATCAGCACGGCGCTGCATGGAGTTCAACTCGGCATGGAGAGTCTGCTCGCGAGCTAGCGCGTCTGCGAGGTGACATGACGTGGGAGCGGGTATGGGAGTGGGTGGAGGTATGAATACCTCTAAAGCTTGGGGTATGGTGCCCCAACCCACGTACACCCCCCATCCCAACAGCAGAGACACACCAACCCATCAGGCACACCTTTCCCCAAAGCCAAGCACGCACCCACCATCGAGTGCCGACTTCATTTCCCCGAGCATGCTCTCGTACAGATCCTCCGTCTGCTGAGACCTGACTTCCACGCTACGTAACTGCCCCTGGAGCAATGACAACTCGGCCTCGTGAGCCTGTGCAGACTGTGCGTGTGTGCGTGCGCCGTGTTTGGGAAGGGAAGGGAAGGGAAGGACACGGGAGGAGGGGAGTCGTAAGACGGATTGCGGTGGGTGGAGAATGGGATGGATTCGGATTTCGGACGGCTACAGCTACAACTACAACTACAACTTCAGCTACAACTACAGCTACAGCTACAGCTGCATCGAGAGGTTCTCTTTCAGACTGCATGGAATAGGATAGCCAGAACCTACCCCGTTCACGTAACACCGCCCCTGTGTGCTCTCTCTCTACCCCCCTACCAGCTGAAGCTGTTCCTGAAGCATCTGGACTTGTTTCTCGTAAACCTGAGTTAGGGATGTAGGATGAGTTCAGGGTTCAATGTACGTAAAAGAGCCTGCGGCTTTTCACTTATTCCTGGAAGCGTAAGTTTAGGCGGTATAAAACTACTAGGAGAAGCGGGATTATGGATCAACCCTGCTGTAAATTATATGCATACATTATGCATAAATACAGCCTAAACAACCGCCCAAACCACAGCCGCAGTTGACTCTTGACTTATGACCCATGGGACAGTGGCCGCCACCCACTGGCAGCCACCTACAACTCCGCGACCCGGTGATCAGTCCCGAATTCCGCAGGACCTGCAGGACCCCAATGACCCATGGGTCAGCCTCTAAAACCTCCATCTCCTCAACCTCCTCCTCCGGTCTTACGTCCTCTCTCCTCCCCCACCTCACCTCCACACTTCCTGCCAGCTGCACGCTCGCCGCCACCTGCGCCTCCAAGGTCTGAAGCATGGCCTGTGACTGCTGCTGAGAGGCCCTGAGAGTATATGTGTGTATGTGTATGTATGTATGTATGTATGTGTGTGTGCGTTGTAAAGGGAACAAGATCACGGGGGGTGACCGGGACCCGTCAGAGGCGACCAAACATAATGGGAGGGTTGGGGATGGTGGCGTGGGATATATGAAACCCTCCCCCTACACACCACCCTACACACCCCCCTACACACCCCCCTACACACCCCCCTACACACCACCCTCCTACACACCACCCCCCTACACCCCACCCCCCTACACCCCACCCCCCTACACCCCACCCCCCTACACCCCACCCCCCTACACCCCACCCCCCTACACCCCACCACTCTACACCCTACACACCACCCTACACACCACCCTACACACCACCCTACACACAACCCTACACACAACCCTACACACACACGACAGAGGAAACCGGCCCCCATAAAGACCTCCCCTTACACACACATAAGGATACACGTATGACAAACACAAACATACACACATGCACGACCCCTCGTTCCGGTGCCCTGCCGTACTTTGCCGTGGCCAGCTCCGCAACCACCTCCTCGTACTGGTCTACGGCAGCCAGGTAGGCGGCCTCCAGCCTATCCAGCAGCCCCAGGCTGTAGCTGCCGGCCGCATCAGCCCGCTGTAGCTCCGTCAGGGCTGATTCGTACTGCTGCCGGGCCGTCTGTACACGTACGAGTTACAAGGGCGAGTGCGAACCGAGGTGGTTGAGGTTGGGCTAGGTTGGGGGTATGTGATGGGTTGGAATACGATGCCATGGTGGTTGGGGATGTACGACACGACACGACACACCAACCGCCGGTGTCCCGAGGGACAAAGCAGCCAACGAATACCGACGGCCTCCGGCTGGGGTCGCGAGGTCGCATAAGCACGTGTCTGTACGTGTATCTGTGCCTGTGCCTGTGTATGTTTGTATCGAGTATGTGATTTTTTCTGTGCGGACCTGCAGAGCCGACTCTAGGACATCTACGGCCTCGGTGTTGGAGGTGTGGGACCTAGCCGCCTCGGCCAGCTTGCCCTGTGGGGCGGAGAGCAGAAAGGGGGGGGAGAGAGAGGGGGGTATTTGGGTAAAAAGGCGGGAGAGGCAACTCACCGCAGCGGCGAGTGGAGACAATCAACCCCCAACACACAAAGAACCCTAAGTCCGATATATGGGATCGCATCGGGTCGTGTTGTGCTGGGGGTTGGACACGTGTGGGTTTCGGGGCGTGAGGGAACTCGCCACCGGCAGGTTGCGAAAGGAGTCTCAAAGGGCGTCCAGTCCGGTCCGGTCGGTCCGATCCCCGGATGCAAGGTGAGGTCAGGAGTATGAAGGGGAGGTTAGCCGAGAAATGGGAATCGGATGTAGTCCTCCTGCCGAGCTCCCCGACCCCTCCCCGGGCTTATGCACGGCGGGTCGCGCTCCTCCCCGGCCTTCACTCAGCACGCATACACACGCACAGACGCATACACATGCACAGCCCTCCCACCTGCATTGCGGTCAGCTCCTCCGACAAGTCCGCCTCCCTTCCCCGGGAAGCTTCAAGTTGCTGCTGCAGCGCGTGAAGGGACAGCTGGTTAGAGGCGGCCTCGGACTGGGCGGCGTCCACCTGCCAGGGCCGGGGGAGGGCGGGAAGAGGGGGAAAGGGGGGGGGAAGGTCCAAAAAGGGGGGAGTTCAGGGATCAAGGATATCAGTGTCCAATGGTGGGTCAGGAACAGAGGAAAGGACGTGGTGTGCGTGTGTATGAAATGCAAGTGTAAACACACCAACAAACACACATCGTAACCTGTTATGGGCTACGACTGATACCCCGGTACAAAGTATTAAAACCTCATATTCAGACATCACAACCCTCATCCTCACCTGCTGCCGCAGCATTGCCATCTGCGCCTCATATTCGGCAATCCGCGCCTCCTCCTCCGCCGCCTTAGCCGCCAACTGGCCCTCCAACTGCTTTTGGGCCTCAACCGCCGCCAACCGAGCAGCCTCCATCGCGGACAGGTGCTCTGCCTCCAGGGCGGCCAGACGGGCAGCTGCTGCGGCTGCTGCAGCTGCTGCTGCTGCCGCCTGCTGTTCAGCTGCCTGCGGTTTGTGCGATACCGGTGTGGTCATTTGCCTGTTCCAAGGGTGCTGGCTCTAACTAAAGAGAGGATACGGATCCTAGCGACCCGCGGGTCATTACCTGCCCAGGCTTCGACGGGGGATGAAATGGGAGGAAATCCTTACAGCTAAAACGGCGAGAAATCTCAAAGTGACTGACGGGCTATCCACAAACGGCCTGATATCATTCTCCTATCTACCATACAAACGGATGCAATATGGTTCAGCTACGCCCTCCTCATCATGGCAGGATTTAAATGTCACACATGCAAGTAACATACAACACGTACACCCTCACCTGCTGAACTGCGTCGTTGGCGCCTGGTGAGGGCGACCTGGAGGGCGAGGGTGAGGGCGAGCCTCTTGGGGAGAGGGAGCCCATCCGAGCAGGGGATCCGGCTCGCGAATCCAGGCTACGTCCGATGCTGCCCTGCTCCTCCACCATCCCCTCCACGTCCCCACGCCGGCTGCTGCCTAACATGAAACCACCGAACAGCTCCTCCTCCACCTCCTGTTGCTGCTGCTGGTGATATTGATGTTGCTGCAGCTCCTCCCTATGCTCCTCCGCCTCCTCCTCCTCCAACATTTGACGCCAGTTAGAGCTAGTGGCCGTTCGTGGAGAGGAGCGCTGAGGGGTAGACCGGGGTTCGGGGAAATTGGTGGGAAAGGAGGTAGGGACGTAAGGGGTTGGGGGAGGGGAGGGGGGTCAGGCCATGTTAGGGGTGAGGCAGAGAGGGAGAGGCGAAGGAAGTAGGGATGGGGGATTATTCATGACGCGATGAACTCAGAAATGAACTGCCTGCCAGAAGGCGTCTAGGGTCCGAAACTGCCCCTAGTGAGTCCTTAGCGATGAAGCCACATCGACTCGTGGGGATGGGGAAAGGCACGAGGGGAATATATATATTATACGCAGAGCATTTGCGCAGCAACACCGCATGGCCAGCGGCGGCGCTGCTACTGCTGCTGCTGCTACTGCATTGTTTACTGTGGTGGATGTGTGGGTGAGGGTGTTGGTTGAGTGAGGGTTTGAGCGGGCACCTGCCCCACACTACCTTCGCCGCTGCCGCTGCCGATCCTGACGATGACGATGACGGTGATGTTGGCGACGCGGCGGCTGTGTTTGGCCCAGTCAGTGTATAAACCACCTGCGGCGGGTGTGTATGTATGTGCGACGTCCAGAGGGGGTTAGGGGCTGGTTAAGGGGGTTGGGGGGAAAGAGATGATGTGTTCGAGATGGCGAGGCGTGGTGATGAAGTGAGAGAGCGGAGCTGGTTTGAGGGGTGTTTAGGAAGACACACAGGCAGGGCAATACCCGTGTAAATGCGGACTGGGTAGGGGGGAGTTAGGGGGCGAGGCCACGGCCCAACCACTGTGTAACGTACGTTCGTCCCGCCGACTTCGCCACGCCAGGGCCCCCCCCCCTTCCTCCACACGATCTCCTCTACTCCCCATCGCTGCAACACCCCCCCCCCGGACACACACCTGCACCTCCTCATCATCCGGCTCAAAGGAGTCTAAAACCTCGACCACGTTGAGGGAGGGCCCGTGCGGCGGCGGCACGGAGAACCCGCCAAAGACGGGCGGTGGAGGCGCCGATGACGCAGCGGGCGCGCCAGCGGTGGCACGTGCGGGGGAACCCGTGCGCGCAGGGGAGCCTGTACGTGCGGGCGAGCCCGCCCGCCGTCGCATCTCCTTCGCCTCGTTGAAAGCGTGCGCCGCCTCTGCCGCTCGTGCCTCCTTCTCCACCATAACCTCGTCCTGACGCTCGTGCATGGTGGCAAAAACCTCCTGGATTTTGCTGGCGGCATCGACGGCGCCTGACGGCGGGGCCGATGCCTGCGGTTGCGTTGCCTGCGGTTGCAGCGGCGGCGGTGAATCCACCGTCCCTGCCGACGTCGATGCCTGCAGCGGCGGCGGCACAAAGGTTGACGGCTCAAAGACCGCCGGCGTCATTACGCGACCCCGTTGGGCTGCCTTCTCCACCATCTTCCGTACAGCCGCCAGGTCATGCTGTTGCTGCTGCAGCGCCGCCGCCGCAGCGGCGGCAGGCGTCGGTGGCGGTACTGCAGGTGGCGGCGGCAGGGTCCCGCGGGCAGGGCTCAATGCGCGTGCCGCCGCCGCCGCCGACGATGATGTCGATGGCGGCAACGGGGCCGGGACGTCCAGCTCCACAGGTCCTGTAGTACACAGGTGTACGGACGTACGGGAGAAAACACTGTTGTATGCACGATACTTAAACCCACCCATGCTACGACTCCGTTCCCCTTAAAATTCGAAGCCTCGTGTTACCATTCCGACACACATTTCCAGCTCAAGGTCACCTAAAGCAGCACAAAATTAACCCATAAATTTCATCCACATCACAACCCTAAGCCCAGCTCCCGCACCCGTGCTGTTCCTACTCCCCGGCTTCTTACCCAGGTTAGGGGCGCCCCAGTCCCAGCCGCACAAAAGCATTTTGTCCGCCGCCGCTGGCCCTAGTGCACGATCTGGCCCCGGCTCCCAAGCCACCGCAACGTCCGCCGCCCCTGCCGCCAGGGCGGCGGTGCTGCACAGCACCAGTTTCGCCGCGACCGGTCTATCCAGACGTAGCGGAATCCGAGCAGTCCATGCTCCAGGGACGAGGGAATCCGGCTGCAGCCTCGCGCCGCGGGCCGGGTCCCAGTCCCCCAGCTCCGGACAGGACCCGGTGAGGGTGAGTACGAGCTCGTCCGCAGCGCCGGCGGCGAGGGAGGTAGGCGGTAGGCCTTCGCCGCGGACTGTAAGCTGCAGGACGGTGGTGCCTGATCGGGGGGCACAACAACGTGAATCTCGTTCAAACACCTTCTCTTGAAGCCACTGGATAAACGCAAGATTGGATCAACGTTTCAACGACAGCAAAATAACAAATGAACACATTTCACGAAAGGCGATAGCGTCTTCGTCAATCTGGAAGAAAACAACAACAATGCGACAAATGAAGTAAACTGGTAAAATATTTACACACACACACACACACACACACACACACACACACACACACGCACGCACGCACACACACACACGCACACACACACACACACACACACACACACACACACACGCACGCACGCACATGACCTAGCGAACCCCACCCGGTGATCTCGCAATCGGCGCCGGCGGCCATAACATCGCGCGTGTCCTCTTTGTGTCCTCAAAGTCACACAGCAGCAAGTACCCGGTTGCTCCGGCGGACTCCCCCGCCGGCGAGGGCGAGGGCGACGGTGGTGCGGCCAAGAACAGCATCCGGTCGTCGCCCGACTCCCAAGAAATTGGAAGGCCATCCTGCATTAGAACCAGCTGCACATCCCAGCAGTACGGCAGTACGGAGGTCCGATGTACGGCGAAGAGTGTGCGTAGGACAGGGTGGGGCCGGGATGGGGGAATTAAGAGGAAGGAAAATATTTTGGCGCTGAACTCTGGTGATGATGGTGGTGAACGTGGTGATGGTGGTGGTGGTGGTGGAGATGGTGGTGGTGGTGGAGATAGTGGTAGTGGTGGTGGTGATGGTGATGGTGGAGGTGGTGATGGTGGTGGTGGTGGTGGTAGTGGTGGTAGTGGTGGTGGTGGTGGTGATGGTGGTGATGGTGGTGATGGTGGTGGTGGTGATGGTGGTGGTGGTGGTGGTGGTGGTGGTGATGGTGGTGATAATAGTGATGGTGGTAGTGGTGGTGA